CACAGCATACATGCACACGCGCACGCACACACACACATATACACACATATCAAGTTTACAGCCTTATCACGTCACCTACATTGTCTTCTGCTCCATCTCCTCATCACACAGGTACTAGATTCTCTTTGAGTGTCACTAGGGTCCTTGGTTACCAGCTTTTTCTACATACGATAGTTATTGTCTTCAGTATTAGGAATCCTTCTAGACCAGTGCCCTACCTGTTGATGAGAACGGGGGAATGAAGCCCTAGAAAGCTCTACAAGGTCTGACTCACTAAGGAAAAACTCAAGAGCAACTTTGAAAATTTCTTTATTTATAGACATGTCAGAACCATTTAAATTAACAGACAATGATTAAATTTTAGACATAACATAGGTGTTTACCTTGAGGTACACACTGTGTCCACAGACAATGCTCTGGAAAGTAATCCAACTATTGACTTGTAGTTAACCCCTTAAAATGCTTTCCAAGCCAAGAAACTGCAAAGATGGCTACAAAATTCCTTGAAAACAACATACCATTTCCATTTAAGGTAAGGACATCTCCTCAAATTCTTAACTGAGTTCAACTTTTGAAAATTTTAAGTCAGAACATGAGCATGGAAGAATAAGTTTCTAGCTAAGCCATCAGCTGAGCCTTATGACATGGAGATGGTAAACAAAAGAATATTTGCACTCTACCAAGCTCTACTACAAAACTCCTAGCTTAGAAATTAAGAGGAATTAGAGCAGCAAAATGACAGGAGACAACTGAATCTAGTTTAAACTGAAATCATGTTTACTCCTTTGTTTCTGGCTATCACAATGAGGCAAATTTTAAAATACAAAGTTCCGAAGACTAAAATCTTGTGATTTAACACGCTGTGGTCAGAAAAACCCCACATTACAACCTCACAATGTAAAAGTCCCCTTTCCATCATTCGCAATCTGGGCCCCCACATTACAACCTCACAATGTAAAAGTCCCCTTTCCATCATTTGCAATCTGGGCTTTTTCTTCTGCTTACCTTAGCAGCCTTTAGATTTCTATAAAATGCAATCATGAGCATATTTCAGAAAAGCCTCATGTTTCCAACAGCAGGCTTAACTTTTTTTTTTTTTTGGTGTTGCTTTGCTAACACTAAAATTTACTCTTAACATGCTACTAAGTTCTTTGGAGAACCATTTTGCGTTTCCAGTTTATTATTCAGAATGATGACGAGTGACTTGCCACACAAAGTGTTTGACAAGTAGAGGCCTTGCTATCCACCCACACCCAGGCCTAAACCCAGCCTTACGGGTGATATGCAGGTGGTTCTGGAATGTGAGCAAAGGTTTTGTTTAGGCGTGTCTGATCATCTGGAATGGACAGTCATAATATTTCCATAAGGTTGTTGTATTTCTGCAGGCAAGAATAAACACTGTATTTTAGCCGAGTGGACAATTTTGCTACAACTTCATCAATTGGAGTGATCTGTGAGGGCTGAGAGTGGAAGTGTACATTTCACAGTTCATAAAGTAGAGCAGCTTGACTTAGAATAGAGAACTTGCAGGCGTGTACACGATGTGAAGAAACTGGTCTATGTTTGAGTTCTCTCTGAGTTGGATCCATGTTTTAACATTTTAGTTGCTTGGCTTGATTTATTGATTTTCTTTTCTGATAGGGGGCCATGAAGATGGTTTTAGCCATGAATTTAAAGAACCAAGCAAAGGCCCTTTTTAGCCACACAGTTCTTCCCAAGTGCCTACATGACTCATTCTAACTTCAGGGAATCTGTAGAAGCATGGGCTCTGTGTTGACCTGGATGGTTAGGAAAGGTATGCTTGTGGGGATCTCTGTAAAGTCTTTTCATGGTGAACTTACACCTCCCAATGTAAGCTGATTGAAAACGAAAGGACAGGAAAGTGAAACAGGATCATGGCAAGGATGAGTACCAGCAAGAGGAGCGGGGAAGAGGATTCAGGAAAAGAGTGACTGTGGATGAATATGGTCCCAGCAGGTTGTGTGTGTGTGTGTGTGTGAAATTAGAACAATAAAACCTGTTCTAATTCTTTTAAATTTTAGGGTAGGGGACTAGGGTAAGGGAGAGTGATAGAGATGGCGAGATAGATGGGAATATGTTATATCCATGCGTGGAAATGTCATCATAAAATTCCTTTGTACAACTAATATGTTAATACACATTTTATAAAAGGAGGGAAGAAAATCACAGCTCCTAGAAGGGTAAGAGTGTTTGTATCTCTTCATTCCTTCTCTGCATTTCTTGTCTTGCTTCCCTTGGGGTGATGGATGCCATGTCCAGTCAGGGATCTCGGCAGATGAGTGCTCAGCCCAGAAACAGCAATGACATTTCTTTGTGACTTTCTGAAATGCTAGTAAATATTACACTTAAACAAATTCCAAGTTAATGAAAAGAAATACTAGACAGTGAGAAACAGAGGCTTTCTGCCTCCAACATATTCTAAATTTTAATGGTTTTGTGGTGTTCATTTTATACCCCATAAAGGCAGCTGTCACTGCTATCTGTGGATTCCTTAAAGGCAGGATGCACTTAGCTCAGTATATCCAGCTGCCAGGAAGACTTTCTGTCTCTTGTATTTACACTGTCTCAGCAGCTTTGATTTTAAATATGAACTAGGAGTTCCAAGAAGGAAGAGGTTGGGTCTTTTTTTATTTTTGAGGGGTACTAGGGGCTTTGAACTCAGAGCTTGTGCTTGCTTAGTGTTTTTCCCTTGCTCCCCCAGATGGTACTCAACCTTGCAAGCCATGCCTCCAGCCTGGCTTTTTGCTGTTTAGCTGGAGCCTCATGATCTTTTCTGCCTGTGCTTATTTTGAACTAGGATCCTCTAGGTCTTAGCCTTCTGGATATGTAGGACTACAGGCATGAGCCACTGCTGCCTGGCAAGGCAGCGTTTTTGGCTGACATCAAGCATCATGCCTGGTGTGAAGAAGATGCTAAATGGATATATCAAAGGCCAGCCTTTGCCAATCAATAAACACTTAGCATTAACATACCAGGAACAACGTAAACATCAAGAAAACAATCCTGTTTTGTGTTAACACCCCACCCCCACCCCCCCAAAAAGAGAAAAGATTACTGACAATCCTAGCTACTCAGAAGGCTGAGATCTGGGGATTGCAGTCCAGAGCCAGCCCAGGTAACAAAGTCCATGAGACTCATCTCCAATTAACCACCAAAAAGCCAGAAGTGAAGCCATGGCTCAAGTGGTAGAGAGCTAACCTTGAAGAAAACAAAGCTTAGCATCCAGGTCCTGAGTTTAAGCCCCATGACTAGCAAAAAGAAAAAAAAAAAAATAAAAGGGAGTCAGTTTGATATGGGGAAACATCCATTAGTAAACTTAAAGCAATCTCATTGCTTGCTTCTGAGAGAAGACTGTGTCAAGTGATGAAAAATGGAAGTCCTAGTGGCTTACCCACAAAACTTGCAGATTCTCAACTGCTTCTACTTTTATTCTACAGGCAAGTTCCGAGAGGTGGCCTTCGTAAGGCATGAGTTCCCCTCACAGGGAAGGATATCTTCTATAAACAGGATTCTGTGGGCCCCGAGGGTACTGGAATTTTCACAGATCCCTCAGTTACTTCTGAAGGAAAGCTCCTATTTGACAGCTTTGCAGGGATCCCCTTTTACCTAAAGTATAATATTTACATTTTGGAAGGCATAATGATAGGAAATCTAAGATAGAAAATGAGAACAGGCATGAGCTCACCTCAACTCTCAATCATGAATCTCAAATACCTTTCTAATACCACGAAATAAAGTAATATTTTACAGGACTATAAACTTAGACTAGTGAGTTTTTTTTTGTTTTTTTTTTTTTAACGGATTACCTAATTTTGGTGAGCAGCAGGAAGGAGAGATCAGAGATCAGATCTACTTGAAAGGTCAGAGCATGTATGTGGTCACAGGCTGTTTACATTCAGACTTGTGGGCTGTTTGCAGGATGCTTTACTCACAGAATGAAAACGTTTCGGAAGTTTATATTCTTATAAAAAGTCAAGAATGAGGATGATGACATTATATTTTGGAATATTTAATCACCTTTAATGAAAGTTCTCAGACGCACATTCTGGAGTTCTTGGAGTAAAAGTCTGATACGGATACATCATTTTCTTTGGAAGAGAAGAAAGAAGAGACTTATGAAATTAACAAGTACTCTTATTGGTATTTTAAGAATCACTCAACAGATGTAGTGTATATGAAAACAGAAGGATAGATCATTTGATTTTTGAGCTTCCTGAAGCCAGAGGCACGCTGTGAACACCTGACGCTGAGAAATGCCCTTCAGATCTCTTACTGCAGACCCTCAAAGTCAAAATGATCATTCAACAGCAATTGTCGCTTTACCAAACGTCAGCATGGACATGCCATGAACAGCCCTACCATGGGCTTAAACAGCTCACGCTGTCCTTTAATGCAAACTCTTTACAGATCTCTTCCACGTTTCCAGTGATGAAGCCTGAGCTTCAAGGTTCAGGGTTCTGAGAATCTTTGGAATCATTCTGTCCAATGTGTCTAAGAGAATCAACATAGTTAATAGTCTCAAAACCTCAATGAGTATTTGAGAGTAAACATATATTATCTAAAACATCGATTCAAAATTATATTTAAAACATATATGTGTGTACATATATGCATACCTACACACATACATATACACCTATACGGATATTTCACTTTGTTTTTCTCTCTGCTCAATAGAACTAGCAGCAGTTACAGATCAATTTTCTGGTCACGATTTGTCTTATTTCTAAGGACGTCATATACCCTCTATCAACACATGAATTTTGGAAAATGCCTTTTGATAAAAACAATCTTCACCAAGCATACAACATTAAAGTGTCATTATTCATATCACTAACATTTTCAGGCACAAGAGTAAAACAATTAGCATGAAGCAATCCAAACAACAGCACAGAATAGTTTAGTGTCTAAAGTCAACTCTCCCGAAGAAGGGAATTACTCATAATGTTTTTCTTTTCTTTTTTTTCTCTCGCTCAAGATTCTTATGTCTTTCAGCTTTGGCTATTTTGTAATAAATATCATACCTTCTCACAAAACCTACTGGGGTAAGGATGAGTTCTCTAAATATGCCTTTGTTCTTTTAGCAGCTGTTGGGTGTTGAGTGACGTACAAGGCACACCTCTTAGTGTTCTGTACAGCATTTTTATTGATGTACAAAATAGCCTGTTCATCATTCAAAAACGTAATCTGCATAGTAAGAGTTTCTCGTATCCCTATTTACAGAGAAGGTTTTTAGTGCAAAAACATGAAACTGTGTCCCAGCCCATCCCTTTTACCGTATACACATTACTTCGTTTTGTTCCATGCTACCTAGGGCTATTTGGCTAAATTTTGGGCCTCCAGCCATTAATGAATTGCATTATTTTCTTCACTTGCAGTTTGCTTAATTTGAAATCCTCGGAGAGGATTTCTTCCGTTAGTTGAACAAGCAAATTTCCATCAATCTTTTCAGTGACAAAGAAGGATATGACATCTTCAGACAAACCAATGAACCGTAAGGATTTGGACACTTCTTCTATGGAGAGTCCTGACAGGTCAGCAGGTGGCTGCCATGGAGAACCGTCGCCACAGGACCTAGGGGCCAGCTGGAGGTGGAGAGGAGATGAGAAAGGGTAAGAGACAGAGAAGATGTCCTGCATGCCCTTTTTAACAAAGTACTGGTTCTCGGAGAGGTCCAGGGACCCCAACTCGGGGCCCTCCTCAGCACCATCAATTTTCAGAGGCAAAGGAGATGTTTCGGAGGCGGCTTTCTGTTCCGCTGGCTTTGGGGCCCTGGGGGGCAAGGCAGGGCAGGAAACACTCTGCTTGGTCATGCCCGCTGCAACAGTGCTCTCCTCCGTGCTCTCCAGGGAGTAGCTGGCTGACTTGGGACAACCAGAGATGCCGCCACTGAATTCCGCAGGGCCTGAACTTGGAGGGCTGCTGGTGAGCTCGCAGCCGTCAAAAGCAAAAGGCGCTGGGCAGGTTCTCTTTGGTGTGCCTGGCGTCTTTTGTCTGGGGTAACTGTAACTCCTGCTTGGGTCCAGCAGGAAGTCATTCCTGGTCTGGTTTTCGGATGCTCCTGAATAATGGTTAGGCCACGAGAGTCGCGAGGCTAGAGCTTCAGTAGAAGGACTTCCAAAAGGGGATTTCAAGTCCACAGAGTCCGTTTTCACTCGATTGCAGGGATAGCAGGACACGGGAGCACTGTCAGAAGGATTTGTGTCACTTTTAGGAACACTGCGTCAAAAGCAGACAAGACACAGAAAAGGAAATTAGTATGGAAAAAAACAGAGCCAAGTTCAAGGTATCTGTTATACGTAGATGTTACTTCTAAGGAGGCAAATGCAATTCGGAGACATGTATTTCTTATTATGAATTAAAAATAAAGTACTTGTTGACCTCAGTCGTGTTTTTTTCATTTTACAAATCACTAATAGAATATATTTTTATAATTATGGATAGGTACGTGATGATTCAAAGTGCTACAGAGGAGAGAGAAAAATCACACACACACATTTTTAGCTAACAATAAAATAAATCGTGATTGGTAAGTATCTGAATATTTATAGTGAGGAAACCCCTCAAGCTATGCTTTGGGCTTTTCACCCACAGGGGAGAGAGAAAGCGCTATGTAGGCTCCTCGTGCTTGCTCGCCAGGACACCTCACCACCATCCCTCACTCTATTTACACTCCACTGTCTCAGACAGGGAGAGATGCTTCACATGAAAGGTTCATCTTTGCCTTGGTTTCTGCACAATGCAGTCATAGTACCCTACGAGCAGAAAACAAAGTGCTTAAGAGAGCTACTTAAACTTTAATAGCATACGGGGCAGTGCATTCAGCCTACGGATCATATTTTAAGCACAACAGTGAAGCTGCAGTGGGGGGGGGCCCTAAAAAGTGGGGGACCTGGCTGAGGATAGAACAGGCTGTGGGCATCGGTGGAAATAGCAGATGGAATTGACACTGTTTCTTTTGAAGTAGAGGAACACCTTTCATGATAGTGACTTCAAATTTTCATGGGCTGGCAAAGAGAAGTAGGGTGGAGCTCCTCTTTCTGTATACGCAAGGAATCATTGAACATTACTTAGAACGAGATTTTGACTTGACAGTATAAAAGATACATTCACTTCATGAGGCTACTGTCACTTGCCAACAAGGAACGGATGGGCTGTCTTATGAAAGAACTAAACTCACAGCTGTGGAAGGACCCAGATAGGATGGAATGACTGCCCAGCAGTCCTGGTCAGAAAGGGATGCCTATCTGGGTGGAAACTCAAGAGCTCAGAGCCAAGGGGACCCTTCTCAGCTGGAGGTCCTGCTGGAAGGGGCTGTCTCTGTGTCAAGATCAAAGTGGAAAGAACCAATAGCAGCCCATGTTTTGTCTCCAAGACACATCAGTAGGCTTTTTAATTACTGAATTTCTCAGACTGTTGTGGCATCATTTCTTCCTAATACGCTGACTCTTTCATTCTAGATCAAAACCCACAGGGGCCCATCATGTTCGTCCAACAAATTTTTTTTCCAAGAGAAAAAAAACAAACTTTATTTCCCCTTCCCCATCTAGGTGATGACCTCAAGGGCCCATGGACTGGTTGAAGGGAAGGCGGGGTTGCGGCAAGCCCTAGCAGTAAGACTTACATGCTGTGCAGCCCTGAAGAATAGTAGGACAAGGTGGGGCTGGGAGAGCGAGTCTGTGGCCGCGCTGGCTTGACTGTGCGAGGAGGGATGGAGGGACTGGTGGACAAAGGCTTTGCGCTTCGGGGTGGAACCGGTGGGGCATTCAGGAGCCGGCATTCTTCCCTGACCTGATGCAGAAAAGAATACTCCACGTTAGCAACAAGCTGACAAGACTGACAAGGCCTTAGGGGACCCGCGTGATCCGGTGAGGGTGGCAGGGGGGTGGAAGCAGAGGAGAAAGGATGGGAGCAAATAGGAAAAGAGGCTGCCAGGGAGAAAACCAGACGCCTGTCATCTATTTGCTGGGAACAGACTGAGTTGGAAAGAAACTGCTTGGTGAGAGTCAGCTGCTACGGAAATACAGCAAGTAATGTGAAGTACAGCAAGTTAAAGTGTGTTGGGTTAAAGAGCCAGTGAAATGTGAGGATGTAGAAAACAGATGTGTGAAGGAAATGAGACCAGAAGGCAGCCATGATATCGACAGGATGAGACGCTCCTACTGGGGTGTGTTTATTCCCTGCTCGAATGGATTCCAAGCTGATCCAAAGCTTTGGAAAGGTAAACTTTCTCCAGGGTTAAACCACCATTGGAAGTTCTATCTGGGGCTTCTCAAACGTAAGTGTGCATGCCCGACTCTCCTAGGGAGCATGTGAAAATGCAGAGTCTAGTCCAGGAAAGGCAGGGTGGGGCTTCTGCATCCTTACCGGGCTCAAGAAGTTAGCTCTTTAGTTCCAAAGATTGATACAGTTATTGGAAAAGCTGCCTCCAGCCCTCTCATCCTCCTCTCATCTTTACACGGGAGAGGACCTGGGTGACCCATGATGGCCATGCCTTTAGCAAAGCCTGCCTGCTCTACCCCAGATTTTGCTTTCCAGTCCTTACAACATGTCCAAAAAGAATTCTCATTCACCAAGTGGGTTTTTGGTATGCACTTCCCCATGTCAGACAGCAGGGGGCGGCTTATACCTGGTTCTGCTGGTCTACCCTAAACGACAGAGTTAAAAACAGCCAATTCTGACTTGATCAAAAGCGTTGGACTTTGAAATGCCCCTGCCTGCTTTTAGGCCATGTTATCCTCAAAATATTTCACTTTCTTTTCAACTCCTTTCTGTCTAAGCAGCTATGGGGGAAGTAAGGACAATGAAACAGCAAGCTCCCATTAGCTTTGGCCCAGAGTTTACCCAACATGAAAAGAAATGGGCTCATGTTATTACATCACACCTTCCGCCTCCTACACTGACAGCACCCGGGGTCTCCAACTGGTGTCCCAGGCCCAATTCACTTGCCAAAGAAAAGCAGTGGGTAGGGAAAGTCATGTGACCATGGGTGGCTCTACACATCTCTCTCCTAAGTAAATTGGAAATGATTTAAAGTCTTATCCACAGCATTTTCTCCTGGGTCCGGGGTTTATCACTCTAACCTGCATACACTTCCCCCCTGCCCCGCTACAGCAATGTACTTCACACTGGGTTAAGAGTGCGGTTTTTTGCTTTTTTCATCTGGAGTTGAAATAAAGTGAAATGTCTGAAGTCAATCTTCTTTCCAACAGCTACGTGAGGCTTTAAAGAGGTGGTGGCGGCTGACTGCAGAAAGGAAACATCGGAGGAGATGCGGGAGACGGCTCCGTCCTGGCACCATTTGGGGTCCTCTTTCCTAAGTAACTGAGAATCAACTAGGACCCTGAAAATCGGCTAAGTCAGCCCACGCATGCCCTGGTTGTTTTTTTTTCCCCCCCTTTAGGGGGTGGGTACCTGTCAAGTTTCTTTTCTCTCTCCAGAATGACTACAGAATCTAGGATGGATAGGCAGAACTTCATTGCTTTGGTAGATGTTTACAGTTACAGGAATCGTGGAAAATGTGACAAGAGCCAGTTAATGTTTTCGTTTTTAAAATAAACAATTATGTTTCAGTACTGGGGTAGAGGGAGCATGAGGAAACCCTAGTTAATGCTGAATTCAATTTGGGGTATTTTCACATTTTGTAATTAGTTATTAAATATGACATTTCATTAGGGACTGCTTACCTGAGATGTCAATTGTAATATGCACTTTAATTGAACATAATTGGCTGACCTTAATCTTGGAGCTCAAAAAAGCATCCACTTGCAGTCTAATGCATCCTAGGGAAGTCCTCTCTTCCTGTTCTCCTAACCAGCCCTGGGCATCCAAGGTCACCTAGAACCCCTTCGGCCACCTCCTTCCTAATGGAACTGTCTTGAAGGGCTTCCTATGGTTTTTTCCCCAAGGTTGGGAAGTGAAAAGATACGTTTGTAGGCTCTGGGGCCTGGGCAGGAGAAAGCTGCTGGGAATATTTACAGCGAAACTTCAAAACAGAATCTGAGACACAGGCAGCTTTCGGGGTGGTCACATGGCTCCTGAAGAGAGTTTGAATTACGAATTCAAAGTGAAAAGAAAATACTAGGCTTCCTTCAAATAGACTCTGGAGAAAAAAGGTTGCTTCTAAAAAGGCAACTTTAAAGGGATCTCATCCATGACAGGAATTTTGGGCATTGTCTACTGAGGCACAAAGCAAGGAGCTCTGTGCTATGCTGGGTGGGAGGGAGGGGCAGCTCTCAGTGGGTAACAGCGCCGCCCACAAACCAACTCCTGACAGTTCTAGTACCTTCAACTCGGTGCTGCAGACATGGCTACTCTGATGAAGTCACATTCCACGGACTTATGGGAAGGATTATACGCATTTGGAGATATATACATTTTGGAATTCAGAAGTGTAAATCGAGGGTTGGTTGTATCTTACTTTCAGAACAGCAATCATTCTACTTTACTCTGCTTCTCGATTTGATTCAACATGAGGCATTTAAGGTTGTAAATGAATTTTATCTGATGATAAAGGGCAATTTAAAAGCTGGGATGGCCAATCACCCCATTTCTCGTTTTCTCTCATATTTTCAGCACACTCCTCCTGTGGCTGTCCTCATGCTCCTTTCCACCTCCAGGGGCCCCTCCAACTGCTGGAGGAAGGCCACCTGCCTCCTTGCCTCCACCCAGCAGCTCTCTGCAGTCTGGCTCCATCCTACCTTTTGCCTATTTTTCCCACTCCTCCATATGACCTGTCTCTCCCATTCCTCCACAGAGATCTAGGTGGTGGATTTAGTGTCATACCTTAGGCTTTCCGGCCTCTTCCTTCCTCGGTTTTAGTGTTTCTTTCCATTCCCAGCTAACTGTCCATTTCTACTGCCCAGCCCCACCCTTTACATGTTTTGTCTATAACCGCCACAGTCCCCATGTCTGCTCCCTGCTACTGAATCCCACTAATGTTCTGTTACATTTAGTTTATCTCCATGTATAGTCACTTAGCCTGAGAACTAAAACAGTAGAGCGAGCCTGTTGTTCTGGATGTCACAGTCATGGGAGGTGAAGAGTTTGGGATCTTTTGCCTTTGGCACAGATGCATCACACAGATTGGCAGGTAGAGGTTAAAGGTTAACTTTTTTTTTTTTTTTTTGCCAGTCCTGGTGCGCTTGAACCCAGGGCCTGGACACTGTCCCTGAGCTTCTTTTTGCTCAAAGCTAGCACTCTACCACTTGAGCCACGGTGCCATTTCCGTATTATTCTGTTTTTGTGGTGCTGAGGAATTGAACCCAAGGCTTCATGCATGTCAGGCAAGTACTCTACCACTAAGCCACATTCCAAGCCCCAGGTTAACACTGTTTAGACCAAAAATATACCACAGAATGACTTAGATTCCTATGTGGAAATTGCTGTTGACAAGCCATTTGGTTATCTGGGCCTGTGATACCATATTCACTTACAGTCTCAGGAATAAAATAGAGCTAGTAGGGCTGGCACATCACCATTATTAATTCTACCTCTACCATCACACTTTGATATAGTACTTGGGTAAAAATGACAACGACTGCATTCTTAAATTAAGAAACGTGGCTTTGTTAGCACTTCCCACACCATTAATTCTTATTCTAAAATGGACACATCCTAGACTATTTTGTGCCTGGTAGAGTACAGCTCTTCTGTTCATTCTCAATGAAACATTGAGACTGAGTTTGAACTAGCAACACATGTGGAAAGTGTCTGTGTTTTCAGGAATAAACAAACCTCTCTAATACTAAGATACATGAAGGGTGACATTGTGTTTTGAGGTGAATGTTACCACCCATTGCAGATTATGGGTAGCCTCTGTCCATCAATAGTTAATTCCTGACTGTGAGTAGCTTGAGTGTCCACAGAGACGCTCCTGGGAAGGTAGCAGTGAGGAGGGCTGACTCCTGCTCACACCCAGAGCCTTACTTCACCAGCAAGGCCGACAGCTCCTCTGTATCTCTTCCATGTGCAGCATAACTCTTCCACCTTTTCTCCTTCACAGCAGTCTTTCCTTCTTCTAAATAGCTAATGATTTAATTTTTGTCAACTATGTGGCACAAATAGTCTGGTGTTAGTAATATTCTTTGCTGTTCACATAGCAGATTGCTAACCTCAGGCTAAATGCAAAAGTAAATTATCAAAAGGTAGGAATGGTGAGCTCTGTTCTAGAGTCTGCAAAGCATATTTCTAGGGAGGCATATTCAAGTGCCTGCCATTGAATGCACTGAAATAGTCGAGTAACACAGGTTTGAAGTAAACTACAAAAGCTGGGAGCAAGGTACCATCTACTTTCAATGTGTACTCCATTCCCTGGCAACTGCCACTGTGAGACCATGGCTGCCACTCTCTTTTCTTACATATTATATCAACTTACTTTGCCAAGTATAAATATGTATGTCAAGGCCTATTATGCTCAATGAGTTTGTCTTGACTACCCAAAAGTAAGTAACTCATAGAATGAATTGTGAGGGAGGAAGAGAAATGTAATTAAGATAAAAATCGGCAAGTGTAATAACAGAAGTATGTGCAAACGTGTGTGGGAGGACCACGAATTTACTCAAGGCAGTAGTAGAACACACTCATAGGAAACTTGATTGGGAAAGTCTTAGAGAAGAAATATTATAAAGAGCATGGACAATTAGGATGCACTTTTGGTCTAGAAGCTGAGACAGAAACTGAGAAGGCAGAAACAAAGATTGGGAGAAACAAAAGAGTTCGATGTTGAAGGGACTGTTTGGCTTTGACTTTGCATTGGTAGAGGAACTGAGATCCCTGACAAGAAGTGAAGA